ACACAACAGAAAAAAATATTGTTGTTATTATTATATCCCTTGACTCAGAAATCCTACTGTCTAGGTGTAGATACACCAAGGAGATCAAAGACAGAAAGAAGGCCCCTACATCTACCAAAATATTCATAATAGCACTTTTCCTGAAAAAAAAAAAACTAGAGATAAGTGGATGTCCACAGAATTGAGAATGGCTAAACAAACTGTGTATATTCATCATTCCATGAGAAATGATGGATATTAAGAACACAGAGAAGTGTTAGAAAATTTACATTAGCTGATGCAGAGAGAAATAAGAAAGACAAAGAAAACAATATATACAGTGACTATGACAATGGAAATCCCAATAACAATAACAAAGAGGTAAAAATACCCACTGAGCATGAACATTGACATTGTGATGGCCAAGCTTTTTCCCAAAGAAGAGAGGACAAAATGCATGCATCCTCTCTCTTTCTTGCAGAGGTTGGGGACTACACGTGCACAATACAGGTACCATCAGACTTGGGTGATGTGTCAGGTTAATTTTATTGAGACACATTTTCTCTTTCTTATACTTGGTTGGTAAAAAATTCTTCTCTGGGTAGGGGACAGGGGAGAGAGGGATTTGAAATGAAGGTGATATAAAAACAAAGCCAAAAATCAATAATAATTTAAAATGAATACATAAAAAATGTCTTTGCCAGGGTGCATAGTGAACACGATCAAGGGGAATGCTTACAGCACAATTCATTAACTTAGAACCCTCTAATTTGTTTCTAGTAATAAAGCTGGGTGAAAGTTTACTTTGTTTGCTGTCTTGGAGGCAAAAGTTTTACCAAATATTTCACTAATGCCAATAATTTCAGTGGAAATCTCTAACCTATTTAACAGATGCATTTTTCCAGAGCTTTAAAACAATTTACTTACTTGCATGTGAACACTGGCTATTCTAATTACAAAACATTTTTATTCATCAAAGCAGGTAAGAACTTTACTAGGTAACTTTATGGTCCAAGTTTGTAATTTTTGGCTTCAATACCTTAGAACTGCATTTTTAAACATGTGTGTATGTGTTTGTGTGTGTGTGTGTGTGTGTGTGTGTGTGATTGTATAATACAATTTATTCTTGTTACCATTTCAAATTAGCCATTCTCTCAAGTAAGTAACATGCTTTGCCTTTGAATAGTCCATCATCCCTGCAGCCTGCTCATCCTGGAATGTTCCTCTGTGAGGCCCACCCACCCGCTTCTCCCATTAGTGAGTTCCTCCTGAAGCCCCCATTTCATGGAGGGGTCCAAGGAAGTCTGGCTCAATTCCCCTCTCAGTCATGTTTCTGAATTTCTGGAATTCAAAACCATGCCCTACCTTCCTTCCTCCCTCCCTCCCCTTCTTTTCCTTTCCTACCAACTTTTTCCTTCCTTCCTTCCTTCCTTCCTTCCTCTTCCTTCCTTCCTTCCTTCCTTCTTTCCTCTCTCCCTCCCTCCTTCTTCCCTCCTTTCCTTCATTCCTCTCACTCTTCCTTATCCCTTCCCTTTCTTCATCCCTCCTCTTTCTTTCTTTCTTTCTTCCTTCTTTCCTTCCTTCCTTCCTTCCTTCCCTCCTTCTTTCCTCTCTCCCTCCCTCCTTCTTCTTCCCTCCTTTCCTTCATTCCCCTCACTCTTCCTTATCCCTTCCCTTTATTCATCCCTCCTCTTCCTTCCTTCCCTCCTTCCTTCCTTCCTTCCTTCCTTCCTTCCTTCCTTCCTTCCTTCCTTCCTTCCCTCCTTCCTTCCTTCCTTCCTTATTTCCTTCCTTTCTGCCTGCCAGATTAACTGCAATCATGCCTGATGCCTTCTGTGAATTAAACTAAAAAAAAAGACGGTGATAACCTACATAATGGACGGTGTGTCAGTCTTCACTAGTAGTAATGGAACTTGGAGGAGGTTTCTGATGTAACCCACTATCCCAGGCTTTGGGTTTAAAGAGATTGGCTCCTATCTTGTAGATAGCCCCTAAATTATATGCCTGTGGCTTGTTTTTACCCCCACTCATAGGTCATCCTGGGAAATCTCGACTATAGCTTATATTAGATGTAAGTAACAAGATCTCCAGTTCCCATACAAGCACTGAAAACTATAATGGATGTCAAACATAGGTGTGCATGTAAATTGTGCTTGTTATGCCCAGGTGCATGCTAATGCCTTCAAAAAGAGGGTAGCTTTGTGCATTAATTAGTTAATTACTTTCATTTTGATGCATAAATTGCTGCTTTATATAAATTATGCTTAAAATTTAGTTAACTGTTTGTTTCTTTAGCTTGGTGAATAAAAACAGTATTCTTCAGGACTGTGTATTTAATAAAGGTTCGCCTTTAGAAAGTAATTTACTATAATTCCCTGGGTGCACACCAAAAGTATGGAAAACACATACAGAAATCAAAGTAGCTCAGAAATAGCCCATATGATTCCTCTTCTTCCCCCAGTGAATTCTACCTTCTCCCCAGGGACCATGCAATCTTCCAAACTCATAGCAACCATCTCATCATCTGGACTCCCATCATAAGTTAAATTAACTCAGGGTTGCGTCTGATTGATTTTTCATAGGGAACAAGAGATAAAGTCAGGGAGAACCTGGGTTTAAATGCTACTTCAGATAAGTACTAGCTAGGTGACCCTGGGCAATTCATTTAACCTCTCTGCACCTCAGTTTCCTCATCTGCAAAATGAAGGTCTTGGACTCATGGCCTCTAAGGTTCCTTCCTACCCTTAATCAATGATCCTATGATCTCATAGCAGAGGCAGGGAGATACTAGTTGTTCGTAGGACAGTTTCCAGCTGAATATAATAAGGAAAAAATAATTCTGGGGTATGGGAAATTTGTGGAAAAGGTCAGGACAAGGGTGTTGGGAGAGGAGATGAAGCCCAGAGATGGTCTGCTACAAATGTGTCCTATGGGTCTCAGAACCACAGAATTCAAGATTTAAAGATTATCATAGGTGAGTAAGGGGGGCATGGTGGATGGAGCACCAGGCCTGGAGCCAGGAACACTCATCTTCCTGAGTTCAAATCTGGCCTCAAACACTTACTAGCTGTGTGACCTTGGGCAAGTCACTTCACCTTGTTTGCCTCAGTTTTCATATCTGTAAATGAGCTGGAGAAGGAAATGGTCAACCACTCCAGTATCTTTGCCAAGAAAACCCCAAATGGGGTCACAGAGAGTCAGACATGACTGAAAAATGACTGAACAAAAAATTAGCCAATGAGGCCATAGACAAATAGGAATTCTCATTTCTGGAAATAGAGTCAGGTGGTATGGAGAAATAGAGAAGTGGGCTGGCCATTATGAAGATCAGTCTCAAACTCAAATAGGAACAAGGCTCACTAAAGTGTACATAAAAATCCCTCTGTGTATATTAACTTAGTTTTAAAATCTTATCTATATTTTGTTGGATTTTTATCTATTTTGTTAAATATTTCCCATTTATATTTTAATCTGGTTCAGGGGACACTTGAGAGTATTGTGGATGGTGTATCTGACACATCCAATTATGAATACCAATAAAATGTAAGCTCCTTGAGGGCAGGAATTGACTTTGCTTTTGTATCTGTATCCCTACCACAGGGTTTCGCATAGAGTAGGTACTTTATAAATACTCATTAGTTTGTTAATGGGTTGATGAAGGGTGATGTGGGTCCCTTTGGTAGAGGAAGAAGTAGTCTAGAGAAGACTGAGGCTTCATTTCTGTTCTTTCTCATACTTACCTGGCTTATCCCTCCCTCCATATCTTTGCTGATGTTCTGTCTGGATAGGTACCTTCCCTGCCTACTCTCTCCAACAATTCATGTCCTCCCTGTGGTGGACAGAATGCTAGACTTGGAGTCAGGAAGCTGAAGAGAGGGCTCAGGAAGGATAGGATGGGCTGCCACGTTGAAAGAGGGACTAGCTTTGTTCTGTTTGGCCCCAGAGGGAAGAGCTAGGACTTAACAGAACAGAACAAGTTTCCTAACCATTAGAGTGCTCCCAAAGTGAAATGGGCTGTCTCATTGGAAAACTTCAAGCAAAGGTTAGCAGAGTTCCCTTCCCCATCTAGACCTACGAATCCATAATTCTCTTAGTAGGCATTGGATCAACTCTGGCCTGTTTTTTGTTCCCTTATTTTTAAATTCTGAATTTTGCAAACACCAAATAAACAGAGCATTTAGAACAGAAGGAAAGCCTCTTACACAAGACAAGAAATCTCTATTCTGTAGAGCTTGATTTTATTTTAAAGTATTGAATAAATTCATCATGTAATTTTCAAAGCTCTCCTGTCTGTGATTCCTTTTTGGCCTTCCTTTTGTTCTCTTTCTTTTCTTGGGGGGGTGGGGCAGTGTGTGAGATAGAAAGGGAAAGGTGGCCTATTTTTAACATCTCTTTCTCTCTAACTGTGACCCTCTTGAAACAGAAAAAAATCATAAAACTCTCATAGCAAATACACCTAGGTAAACAAAATACATTTCCTTGTTAATTATACCAAAAACGTATCTTCTGTTCTTCTCCCTGAATCATCCCTCTCTTTCAGGAGGCAGGTAGCATGTTTTATCATCAGGCTTCTAGAATCATGATTGGTCCTTGTGCTGATCAAAGTTCTTAAATCTATTTTGTTGTTATTGTATAAATTGGTCTCCTGATTCTGCTCATTCTATTCTGCATCAGTTCATACAATTCTTCCCAAACTTCTCCAAAACTTCACCTTCATAATTTCTTTTTATTCTATTTTATTTTATTTTCTTAGGCAATTGAGGTTAAGTGACTTGCCCAGGGTCACAGAGCTAGTAAATGTGAAGTGTTTGGTCTGAGGCCGGATTTGAACTCACGTCCTCCTGACTGCAGGGCTGGTGCTCTATCCACTGTGTGACCTACCTACCCCCACAATTTCTTATAACACTATAATATTCTGTTCTATTGCATTCATATATAGTAATTTGTTCAGCCACTTCCCATTGATGGACAGTTTCCAGTGCATAGTGTAGTCTAATCTGTCTTTCTCTTCTCTTCTCCAGGAAGCCAGGCCAGGGAATCCCTCCTGGCCAGGGCCCGATGCTATGGCCACCTAGGCCAGAAGAAAACAGCCATTTATGACTTCAACACTATTCTCAGGACTGACCCTACCAATGTGCAGGCTCTATGTGGTCGGGCATTTATGCATCTGGTTCTGAATCAGCAGAAGGTATGACTATCCGTGGGGAAGTAAGGAGCTTTGGGTGGCAGGCAGCTAGGGAAAGACCTACAAAGATAACTTCTTCATTCCTTGGATAATTAGGATCAAAGTTCTTTGGACTGGGCAGGATGTACCCTAAAGCTTGGCCTTCTCTGACCAAAGATCAAAATGGGCTGTTTAAATTTATGGAAGACTTCAACCTCTAAAAAAATTTACTAAAAATTTGAATACAAACCAGATTGTCATAATTGAGTCCTGTTTTCCTAATGGTTCATATTCTGGCATCAGAGCTGTTTGAGCCTTTATTTCCTCCCCACCAAGCAATTAATGGTCTGTGAACAAATAGCTTAAATACATGAGGGAAGCTCCTCATTTTGAAGACACCGTTCAGTGAATAGATTGATTATAGTTTTTTAGAGCAGAAAAGGACCTCAGAGATCATAGGATCATAGGGGACTTAGATGCAACCAGTGTCCCAATATTTCAGGTTGTCCTATCTCAAGGGCAGCCCCCCCATTCAGATTTCTTTGATTTATTTTGCCCTCACACAGAAGTACCTCTGGGAAATTTCCAAAAACTGCTTAAATAGAGTTTATGTCTTAGTCTCCCCAGAAATGAATAAAAAGATCTTTGGAATTTTGGAAAATTTTAACTGATGAACAAAATGTGTTTTACCTATTGTAAGATCAGTCCTCAATTATCTACAGAAATGGGGCCACAAAGAGCATAGAGGCTGTAATCTACCAATGGAAAGAAGGAAGGAAGGAAGGAAGGAAAGAAGGAAGGAAGGAAGGAAGGAAGGAAGGAAGGAAGGAAGGAGAAGGAAGGAAGGAAGGAAGGAAGGAAGGAAGGAAGGAAGGAAGGAAGGAAGGAAGGAAGGAAGGAAGGAAGGAAGGAAGGAAGGAAGGAAGGAAGGAAGGAAGGAGGGAAGGAGGGAAGGAAGGAGGGAAGGAGGGAAGGAAGGAGGGAGGGAAGGAGGGAAGGAAGGAGGGAGGGAAGGAGGGAGGGAAGGAAGGAGGGAAGGAGGGAAGGAGGGAAGGAAGGAAGGAGGGAAGGAAGGAAGGAAGGAAGGAAGGAAGGAAGGAAGGAAGGAGGGAAGGAGGGAAGGAGGGAAGGAGGGAAGGAGGGAAGGAGGGGAAGGGAGGAGGGAAGGAGGAAGGAGGGAAGGAAGGAAGGAAGGAAGGAAGGAAGGAAGGAAGGAAGGAAGGAAGGAAGGAGGGAAGGAAGGAAGGAAGGAAGGGAAGGAAGGAGGGAAAGAGGGAAGGAAGGAGGGAAGGAGGGAAGGAAGGAGGGAGGGAAGGAGGGAAGGAGGGAAGGAGGGAAGGAGGGAAGGAGGGAAGGAGGGAAGGAGGAAGGAAGGAAGGAAGGAAAAGGAAGGAAGAAGGAAGGAAGGAAGGAAGGAGGAAGGAAGGAAGGAAGGAAGGAAGGAAGGAAGGAAGGAAGGAAGGAAGGAAGGAAGGAAGGAAGGAAGGAAGGAAGAAGGAAGGAGGGAAGGAAGGAAGAAGGAAGGAAGGAAGGAAGGAAGGAAGGAAGGAAGGAAGGAAGGAAGGAAGGAAGGAAGGAAAGTTGGTTTCTACTCTTGGTGATAAGTTTGGGAATAGGGGAAAGTAGCTAAAAAGAAATCCTCTCCACCTCCTTGCTTCTCTTTGGAAGAAGACCCAAAGTAAAGAGCTGAGAGTTCCCCACTCCCTTCCAAAGAATCATAAAAAGACTCTCATTTGAGCTCACATCTCCTGTTTTGGTTTTCTGTATATTGCAGCTATCACTATCTGTATCCTGTTCCTCCAGTTTGACCATAGGCTCTTTGAGGACAGAGATGATATGTTATTCATCTTCACCTCCCATTTCCATGGGCTCAAGAAGAGATGGGATGAGATGGGATGTCATGTCATGTCATGTCATGTGACATGGCATGACATGATGTGAAGTGATGTGATATTTCAGGGCAGGACAAGACTGGTATCCTACTTCAGGACCATATGGTTTCCTATTTGCACTTCCAACCAACTGCCCTTTTCTGGCAGAAAGAAATATGTTTATCAGCAAAAAAGTCAGTGTGTGTGGCTTCCCAACCTGACTACTCTCTAAATAAAAGCAGGCCCTTCATGCAGCTTTTTTGGTTTCCTGATTCAGTTAGCAGTTGAAGTTCTATGGAAGAGAGGAGGGAAACAATAAAAATAAGGTTAAGAATAGAATATTTAGAACCCTGGTCATCCCTGTGTTTGGCAGGATTATCTGTCTCCTCTCTCCAAGGTAAGTTGCTTTTGTTCCCAAGGTTTTTGGGAAATCTTGTTTTTCATTTCAGGGGTCAAGGCCAGGCATGTGTAAAGCATTTTCTAAGTCTTAAATCACCATATAAAAATTAGCTATTACCATTATTATTGCTATTGTTGCTATTGTTAGGTGAAATAGATGGGATCTTCATTGCAGATACTTAACAGGAGACTACAGATCAGCTAGGTAGCACAATGGATAGAACGTTGGGCCTGGAGTCAGGAAGACTCCAGTTGAACTATGGCCTCTGACGCTGACTAGCTGTGTGACCCTAGGCAAGTCACTTAACCTTGTTTGCCTCAGTTCCCTTATCTTTAAAATGAGCTGGAGAAGGAAATGGCAAACCACACCAGTATCTCTGCCAAGAAAACCCCAAATGTGGACAAAAAGAGTCAGATGAGACTGAAAGCCGGTAATGTAACTATTCTTCACCAGAACAATTAGATCCCCACAACCTCATATGGGACAGAGATCGTTTCTTATATTTCTACCCTCTCCCCATATCACCTAGGGCAGGAATCCTTCCTATAGAAACTCATTATTTAAAGATAATCTTGTTTGGTCAGGAATGCCACAGAATGGATGTTTTATTTAGAGATGGATTACTAGCCATGGCCGAGTAGGAGAAAGCAGGCTCTGACAAATTTGGGAACAAAATACCTAAGTAGGGATGGATGAATGATGGCTGGTTCTGAAGTAGAGACAAGCATGGCATAAAAGGAAAATATCAGTCTTGGCCCCTGAAGCTCTGAATGTTAATCTCTGAGATTACCTCCAATTTACCCAGTATACATCTTATTTGAACATTACATGGTCCATCCCATTACAAAGTGCACTCCTTCAAGGAAGGGATTGACTTTTGCCTCTCTTTGTATCCCTAGTACATAGCACAGTGTCTAATACATAGTAAGAATTTAATAAATGCTTGTCACTGTGTGACTTTGGACAAGTCTGTGTACTTCTCTATGCTTCTATTTTCTTTTCTGTACAGTGAAGATAACAGCGCTCACAGCTCTCACACCTCTAGACTTGTGGGACTGTTGAGCAAAAAGACATTGGGTGAATCTTGAAGTACTGTGTCAAGTGTAATATGGTGGCCAAGCTATCCACAGTGCCACCTAACTGCCTCATATATACATATCAAGTCAAGTAAACAAGCATTTATTAAGTGCTTGATGTGTGCCAGGCATTGTATAAGCACCGAGAATACGAATGAAAGCAGAAATTCTACCAATATTCCACAACTTTCTGGGAGGGAGAATTTGGGGCCCAAGCATGAGCTCCCCAACCCTGTGACTAACTCCTCACTGTTGATTGTCATCATAGGAAGCAGTGGACAACATTGTTTCTGCTCTTACCCTGGACATGGCGGGAGTGGTCCCCGAGATCTTGTCACTGAAGCAAGAAGCCCAGGTCTTCATCACTCAAGGCCTCTACTCCCACTGCAGAGCTGGTCTGAACCAGCTGGCTTCAGACAGGAGCCTTCCTAGGGAAGAGACCTTCGAGAAACTGCTGGCCATCGGGGAAGCGCTCGTTAAAATAGACGCCACAAACTCTAGCTGGCGCATCCTTCTTGCTGATGTTTTGATTTTGACAGGTGAGAATGATGCTTTCCTGGGGAATTTGTTATCAGTGTTCTATGTGGAATGGCATGGGATGGAAAAGCATTTATTAAGTGCTTACTGTGTGCCAAGCATCATGCTAAGTGCTAAGAATATAATGGACAAACCAGAGAGTCCCTGCTCTCAAAGAGATCACATTCTAATTGTGGGCTACATCCCACAAAGGAGAGGTCAGTTACAGGGTGGAGAGACATGTGCAGTGGTTGTTAGGGTGAAGCAGCAGGCAGCTAAAGTCCCAGCTAAAATCCCATCTTCTACAGGATGCTTTCTTTAACTACCCTTAATGCCAGTGCTATCTTCCTGTTAATTATTTCCCATTTAGCCTGGATATAGCTTGTTTGTATTTATTTGTTTGCATGTTATCTCCTCTATTAGATTGGAAACTCCTTGAGGTCAGGGATGGTCTTTTACCCCTGTTTGTATCCCTAGCACTTAGAACAGTGCCTGGCACAGAGTAGGTGCTTAATAAATGTTTATTGACTAACTGACAGATGGCAAAGTCCAGCAGAGCTGATGCAATGGGTGCGAGCAGAAATGTCCACTCTCAGAGGCAAGAGCCTGAAGAGACTTGGACCAGCAGACTTTGGGAAGGGAAGATCCTGGTGGGATCTAAGTAGGAGGCATTTCCCTTTGACAAAACTTGAAAGGTGAAACCAGGGGCAGCAGAGTACAGAGGAATGATCCATGGACTGAGCATCAGGAGCTCTGGGTCCTCATTTTGGCTCTGCTTGAAGACCTTCAAGGAGTGAGCTCACCACCTCTCAGTTCTCTTCTGGATGGCTGTCATTGTTAGGAAGTTTGCCCTGACCTGCAACCCAACACTGTGTCTCTGTACCCATTGCTTCTGGTCCTGGTCTCTGGGGGCCAAGAAGAACAAGACTAATCCCTCTTCTATGTGACAACCAGTAGGTACTTGAAAGCAGCTATGATGTCTCCCTCCAGTCTTCTCTCCCTGATCTCAAGTCCCTCATTTTATTCTCCGTGTTGATTCTTGGGAAACATAGTGGACATTGAATTGCCTTGCATTGAATTCAACAGATCTCAAAGAGACCCAAAAAATTAGGTTTTTTTGAAAAAATTTGTTTTTCCTGAATGCCACATGTATAAAATAGGGCAAGTTATAGCTGCGTTGCCCAGGACTGTTGTGAGACTCAAATGAAATCATGTACATTCAAAGCACATTACACTGTATACTAGAAGGAAAAGAGAAAAAAAAGATGTCCTCTACTCTCAGAGAGCTCACAGTCTAGCAGGAGAGACAAAATAACTACTCAAAGGGGGAAAAGACAAAACCAGAAAGGGATAAGTGCATAAGAAAAGTAGAGATAGAGTACTAGGTGCAGCTGAGGGTGAAGGACACATTATTTTGAGACAGTTTTCCAATATATACAATATAGTAATAAATCTGTTAGTCAGTTTACGTTGGAGAGAGGAAATCCCTTGAATGGAGTTGAGAAGACCTGGGTTCAAATGTCAAACACTTAACTAGCTATATAACTCTGGACAAGTTGCTGACACCATCTGAGCCTCAGTTTCCTCATCTATAAAATAGCAATAATTATGCTTGTAATTTTTATCTCAGGGTATTGTTTTGGAGATCAGATGAGATTATGTCTGTCATCCAATGGGATAACATGCACGTGGTCAAATGAGATAACACATAAAGAGCTTTGCAGACCTTAAAGCATCTTAAAAGTAATATGTAAAATGTGTCAACATGGCAATTGTTACTGTTATCATATGATGAATACCTAGATTTAGAGCTAGGATGGATCTGAGAAGCTGCCTGATCCAACCCCCATTCTACAGATGAGTAAACTGAGGCTGTAGAAGTTAAGTGATTTGCTGGAGGTCACCTAGCAGTGGAGTGAGGATTTGAACCCAAATTTCTGACTCCAAATTTAAAGCTGATCTATCTTCTTGTTGCTGAGTTTGCCATGAATGGTACAGCAGTCCTTCTGACCTTTATTTCTATATTTCCCCTCAAACAGGTCACTATGAAAAGGCTCTTGAACACCTACAAGAAGTCCTTGGCCCTACTCCCAGGTCTGAGCCTGCCCAGGCCCGTCTGGGATTCCTCCAGTTGAAGAAGAGAGACACTGAAGCTGCCATTCATAATTTGCAGCCCCTGGCTGGAAAAGACCCCAAGGATCTGGGGTTCCTCTTGTATCTGTTGGATGCCAAGCTGCGGCATAGCCTCTCACAGGTACAGTAGGGGCTGGCGCCATCTTGCTTAGGATCTCCCAAGAGTTAAGGGAAGGGAGGGGAAGGGAACAAGCATTTATATAGTGCCTACTCTGTACCAAGCATCATGCTAAGTACTTATAAATATTATCACATTTGATCCTCACATCAACCCTGGCATCTAGGTGCTATTATGAGCCCCATTTTACAGATGAGGAAACAGGCCCAGAGAAGAACTTTCTTAAAGACATCCAGGTAGGAAATGGCAGAGCCAACATTTGAACCCAGATCTGATCTCAAATGAAGTACTCTTTCCAACAGGCTACCCAGCTGGAGAGAAACAGTGAAAAGAGCACTGGTTCTGGGTGGGAGAATCTGGGTTCAAATTTCACTTCTGATGCCTGCCATCTGTGTGACCTTAGACAAATCATTTTACCTTCACAGACCTCAGTTTCCCTGTCTGTAAAATATAAAGGTTAAGATGGATGATCTCTGAGTCCTAGCTCTAAATCTGTGATCCTACTTAGAGCTAAAAAGGACCTCAGAGGTCATCCAGCCCAACCTCCTGCTTTTACAAATGAGGAAACTGAGGCCCAGAGAAGGGAAATAATTTGACCAAGGTCACAAAGGTTATAAATGACAGATGAAGGATTTGAACCCAGACCCTCTGACTCCAAAGTCAGTACTCATTACTCTGTACCCCACTGCTTCTGCTGTCTTTCCAAGGGGCAAGCCTTTGGAGCAAAATCTAGATCTTTTTGATCTCACATTGAATTGCATTACATTGCATTGGATTCAACAGATCTCCAAAAGACCTCACGAATATGAGGTGTTTTTTTGTTTTGTTTTGTTTTCTTACTACCACACCTACAAGATGGGGCAAATTATAGCTACTCTATACAGGGCATTTGTTGGACTCAGATGAAATTATGTACATTCAAAGCACTTTTCAATGTGTTCTAGATAGAAAAAGAGAAAAAAAAAGATGGCCCTGTCCTCAGTGAGCTCACCGTCTAAGAGGGGAGACAAGACAATGACTCAGAGTGCTATAGGATAACAACAGGAATTCAGGTGCTGCTGTCTGTGTATGATTTTGTGGGAGAGGTGAGCGGGGGAGGGGGGATGGCCTCCCCTGTTCCCACCCCCACCCCACCCCCATCCTGTTGCTCACCCAGGCAGACACAGAAGACTAAAAGCCCCCTCTGTGTTTCCTTAACCCTTTGGAAATTCACTCCTGCTCTTCATCAGCCCCTATTAAGGCCATGGCGGCTGTCTGATTATCTGAGTGCATCTCTGAGGCAAGCATAGGCATGCAATTTACAGTTATGGCTTTAGCTGATGGGGAGAAGACAGCTTGGTAAACAAGATTTAATTTATCAGCTTGTAAAAGTTTCTTACTTAGCTTGTCTGAGAGAAGCCTCTGTACCCGTGAAGCGGGGTGAGACACCCTGTACCAGGAAAAAGCCAGTGGAATCTCATCTGACTGTCTGGGACTCATTGAACCATGGATTATGTCTCCTCCTCCCCAAGGAAGAGGCTTGAAAGCCATCCCAGAGGAGGTTGAAAGATGAGGACTGGGAATGGAGGTCAGGCTCTGGTTCAATTCAATGAAACCAGCATTTTTCTGGTCAGAGGATGGAGGTTCAAATCCTGCCTCCAACATTTACTATCTGTGTGACCTTGGGCAAGTCAAGGTCCCTGGGCCTCAGTTTCTTCTTCTGTAAAATGAGGAGTTTATACTTTGTGGTGTTTATGTTCCCTTCCACTTACAGATCTCCAATCCTATTAAGCTCCTACTATGTGCCAAGCACCAAGTTAAGCCCTGGGAATAAAATGACAAAAATTAAATAACCCCTGCCCTCAAGGAGCTAAAATTCTACTGGAAGGAAGGAAGGGGATACAAAGTATACATGAATAAATAAATATGCAGTTTATACAAAGTGATTTCAAGATGGAGAGTCCTAATAACTTCAGGGAGTGTGTGTGTGTATGGGGGGGGGAATGTCAGAGAATCAAAAAAGCATCTAGTAAGTGCCTACTGTGTACCTGTGCTAGGAATATGGAGGATGCAAATACAAACATGAAATAATCCCTCCCTCCAGAAGCTTATACTCTATAGGATGAAACAGCATATATAGATTTAAGTAGATATGAAATATATGCAAAGTAGCTACAAGGTAATGGGGGCATGTTAGATATCAGAATAGGCTTCACATACATGCCTAGAAAGAAGCTAAGGATTCCAATGAGCAGAGATGAGGAAGGAAGGTATTCCAGACACAGGGACCATCTTAAGCAGAAGGAAGAGATAGAGGGTCATGTACAAGGGCCAGCTCATCTGCCCGTTGATGGAAACAGATGGGCCTGAGGAAGGATACTATGAAATAAGAGTGGAAAGGCAAGTGGGAGAGAACAGAAAGTTTTAAGTGAGGATTTTGTATTTTAGCTTAGAGGCAATAGGGAGCCGTTGAAAATGTTGAGTCAAGGAGGTGGCATGGTCAGATGTTTGTTTTATAAATGTCACTTAAGTGGCAGGACAGAGGATGGTTTGGAAAGGGGAAAGACTGGAGGCAGAGAGGTCAGCTGGGAAGCTGTCAGCTGAAGCAGCTAGGTGGCACTAGACCTAGAGTCAAGAGGATCTGAGTTCAAATGTGGCCTCAGATGCATCCTAGCTGTGTGACTCTGGGCAAATCACTTAACTTCTGTTTGCCTCAGTTTCCTCATCTGTAAAATGAGCTGGAGAAGGAAATGGCAAACCATTCCAATATCTTTGCCAAGAAAACCCCAAATGGGGTCATGAAGAGTCACAATGACTACAAACAATTGAACAACAACATATATTATGTGTATATGTGCATTGTTATGTATACACGTGTTATGTGTATATATCTGTGTGTGTATATATGTATATGTTCCATATGCTTTCAAGAACAGAGTTTTATATCCTTCACTTCAAGTATTAGAGTAGAGATTAGGTCAGATGTCCATTGAAATCAACCTTCCCAAGGTGTCTGGCCTGCCCTGAACCTTAGGGCAAGCCCCCCCCCCTCCGTTGTAGACTCTGAGTTACCCTTGGGCAATTATAGGTTTGCCCAGGCTGTCATCAATTTGACAAGTGTCTTTGTGTCCCCAGAGCTTGGCACAGTGCCTGGCAAATAGGTGCTTAATAAATGTTTGTTGATTGACTGATTCTCCTAAACCTTGGAACTCTTCCTAAAAAGTGTTAGATTTAGTTAGAGGATCTGGGTCCGAATCCTTGTTCTGCTATTTACGGTGTGTGTCCCCTCAGAGGGTTATTTTACCTTTCTGGGCCTCAGTCCCTTCACCTGTAAAATCAAGGGGCCAATAAGCCCTTCCAGCTAGAATGGAAGCTCTATGAGGACAAGACTGTGTTGCTTTTGTCTTTGTATTTCCAGCACAGTGCTTGGAACGTAGTTAGCACTTAATAAATGCTTATTGGTCATTGATTGAATCCAGCTGTGTCATCATCAATTAAGAAACAATTATTAAGCACCTGCTCTGTGTCAGACATTAGGCTCAGCACTGGGGATACAAAAAGAGGAAAAAGACAGCCCCTGCCCTCAAGGAGCTTACAATCCTAAAACTTCCCCATCCTTGTCATTCTAACTTGGTATCAAACCAAGAACAAGACCGACTGGTGCTAGAGTTTAGTATATAACCCTTGAGACATTTTTAAAAATGCTGCTTTTCTACCTTACTGACTGACATTTTAAGGGAAAAAAATCTGTTTTCGGGATTAGCTGCATGAGACAGATGAAGACTCTGGTTTTATCTCTACTTTGTTTGGCCGCTTTGGAAAAAAGGATGACAGTAAAAGCCCTCCCCCCTTCTCTAAGCCATCGGCCTTTCTTTTGAAAGGTTTAGGGACTCAGGATCCCTACCTGGCTTAAAAAGAGGCCGAGGGTGGGTAGCATTTAAATTAGAGCTAAAGGCTTTGATGTGTTCTTCTGGGAAATAAGAAACCCAAAGGAGCTTGCAGGCTCCGTGGGATGGCCCTGGGCCAGGATCTGCTGATAGGCAGCCCACCTCTACTCCCTCCTCCTATGGACTAGAGACACAGACTTGAAAGGAGGAAGCCTGCCCTGAATCTAGCCATCCTCCCCCGTCCACTATTGCATGACTTCAGGCTTGGCCAGAAATGCAGAAAAGGTCCTCACCCTGCTAAAGGGCAGACCAGTAACTGGAGAGGGACCTCCAGTCAAGGAGGGGCCTCCTCCAGTTGGGCTGTCATTATTAATTTGGTATCCATCACATCCTCTCCACAGATGCAGCTTTTTTTTCCAAATGACCAAGCCTGCCCTTTCCCCAGACGCCTCCACGAGAAAGTAGTCCCTCTTCCCCTCTCCCCTGTACTCTTGTGAAGATGATAGAAGATGCTACCCTTTGCCAAGTCTCTGTAGTGAAGGTTGGAGTAGTGACCTGCTCAGTGACACCTGAATCCCAGAGACACACTTTTGCCTCAGGCTGTATAGCCATTCTTGGCTTGCCAAGGGGAAACTCCGAGGTTGGCAGCTAGGTGGCACAGTGGCCAGGGCGCTGGGCCTGGAATCAAGAAGACCTGAGTTCAAACTCACCCTCTGACACTTTCCTAGCTGTGTGACCCTGGGCGAGTTGTATCATCTCTGTTTGCCTTAGTTTCCTCATCTGTAAAATGGGTGGTCATAATAACACCTACTTCTCAGAGTTGTGGGGCTCAAAGGAGATAATTAATTGTAAGTACACTTAGCACAGTGCTGGCATATAGTAGGTGATATAGAAATGAAAATTGTTTTTACCTGCATTGTCTCATTTGACATCCCGCCTTCATGAGTCGAGATCTTGAACCCACCAAAGTGCTATAATTCAGGCCATGCTTCAAGTCTGCAGCCTCGGAACTATAACAGTCTTAAACAAAGGGACCACTCACTTGGAAACTTCAGTGAACACAAAATCTCATCCATGTGGGTATCATCCCTTCCAATGCAGATTTCAGCTCCTCACTCCCTACCTACTCTGCATGAC